TGTTTTCATCTATTGTTTCTTTAACATCTAATCTTGGCCAAAGTTCGTGAGGGAGTTGAAGCCATTGGGGACCTAGCGTCCAAATGGTCTCATTTATTAACTTGGAAATCTTCGTTCCCCAGATACGAGATCTGCAGGGTTTCGACACCTGGGCAATAATGCCAATCTTGAGGTGAACTCATTTTTGTATTTCTTCGACATGATTCCTGACAAAGGGTTTGAAGGCTTCAGGTCGTTTCTGGATCCAAAAATAAGTAATTGTTGAGTCTGTCCAAAAATAGCACGGAATTCTCAATTTCAGTGCTTTCAGAATATTGCTGACTAACTTAACTGATAACAATGCCCCCATTAATTCTAACCTCGGTAAAGTAAGGGATTTTAGTGGGGCTACCCTATTTTTAGAAGAGACAAAGGCCGTTTTGATTTCTTTATTTTCTGTCGTGAAACATAAATATGCGACTGTACCATAGGTTTTGACACTTGCGTCTGAAAAGCAATGTAGTTCGAGATTTTCGACATTAATGTTCGAGGGCATGAAAAAGTAACGAGAGATGGAGAATTCAGTCATTTGAGGTAGCTCTTCACACCACTTTCTCCATTCAGAGGGCTAATCTTTAGGCAACGGTTCATCCCAATCTATTTGTGACAACCAAATCTTCTGTATTAAGCACTTTATTTTAACAGTGAAAGGTCCTAAAATTCCAATCGGATCGAATATCCGACCCAACACTTGTAGAAGAAATCGTTTTATTTCTATTGGTTTAGATGTGAAAGACAATAAGTTCCGAACATCAAAATACAGTAAGTCCTTTGAATTATCCCATGCCATACCTAAGACTTTAAATGGGAATTTTCTCTATTAAAACTTCAGGATTTTCATCTGGAACGATACCCTTTTTACCCCAATTCATGTAATTGTCTCGAGTTACTATCCATTTGTGAAGCTGCATGCTTGCTTCCTTAAATATTTGGACCGATTCTAGAGTCGTAGTTAATGCTTCACTGATCGTTGGTTGGCTTCCAATCACATCATCTACATATACGTTCTCATTCAAAAAGTTAACCGTTGTAGGATAAAGTTTATTATATTTTTTTCAGATGATGTTTAATGGTAGCGGCTAATAGAAATGGACTACTATTTATTCCGAATAAAACTCTAGTGAACCTATATATGTTACGAGAAATGTTTTCATCATTATGGAAATCGGAAGACAGAAACCTTCTTGCGTCTCGATCTTTTTCATGTATGAGAATCTGTAAAAAGGCTTGTTTTATATCTGCGGTGAAGGCTATTAGATTATACCGAAATCTTAATATCTCGAATATTTCAGGGTATAAATTTGGCTCAACATGTAGACAGTCATTTAAAGAAATGGATCCTGGGGCATGCGATGATGCGTCATAAACAATACGTAATTTACTTGTAGCTCGATCCTCGCGTATAACTTCCCTATGTGGCAAGTAAAACAGGACATCCTTAATTTGAAATTTCTGAAACTGGTTCGATAATATTTTGTTTTAACTGATCTCTTAATACGTTCCTGTATTCGTAAAATAGATTAGGATATTTTTTAAATCGTTTTCTAAGTCGATGAAATCTTTGTTCTGCGATTTCCCTATTATTTAGATTTGATGTGTCATGTTTCCAAGGCAATCTAACTTTATAGCGAGAATTTTCATATGTTATATTTGAATCGAAATATTCGACGACTTCATTTTCAGTTGAATCGAAGTTTTCCCTCTTATCAATAAGTCCTGAGTTTTCCAAGTCCCAAAATTTTGTTATTTGTTTGGAAATCAAATCTTCCCCTACAACTACATTGAAAGCTAAAGAGACATCATCATCACCTTTTCGTCCATGTAGGCACCAGCCGAAAATAGTTCCACTGCAACAAGATTTTTGCTTAAGTATTTAATGTGTCCCATTACTATGTTGTAATAATAATCTGCACCAATTAGAATGGCAATGGGTTTTTTACAATCGGAAATTCTGCGAGCATCAAATTTTTTAATTGTCGATTTTGCTTAATTTCTTCTGATTTAGGAGGTGGAATATCTATACCTGATATATGATCAGTTACTAATAATTCAACTTCTATTCTGGAATCGGGAGAACTACTTCATAATTTTTTTGGATGGGAGAAGTATTCCCAAAAGTGTAGACAGTCAATTTTTCTTTTCTTAGGACTTCGAGGTTTAATCTGTCCGCTAACTCGCGAGCACAAAAACTTTTCATACTTCCACTATCCAAGAGAAGTCTGGCAAACACCTTTTCCTTAGCTGTTTTAACTTTTATCGTGCAAGTCTGTAAAAGAATTGTATTATTTGCATTATGTGAAACGGCCGAAACAATTTCTTCCTTCTGTTCCTTAGTTTGTGTATCATTTTTCGAAATGATATACCATCCTTTTTATCACTTGTGTATTTTTAACTATCTAACTGGATTTAAAACACATGGCTTCTGAATGTTTACCTTTGCAAATTTTACAAACTTTAGTTTGAAGTTGCCGGCACTTGTGAAGATTTTGTGCTTAAGGGCGAGAAAAAGGAAACAACCGCGCTTGGTTTTTTCAAAATATCTCTCATCTCATTAACTGTAAAGGCATAAACAGGACTCAGTCATGGTTTTGTAAAACAAAAAAATGCAGTTTCGATTTGAATGACGCGGCTGCCATAAATTCGTGTGTGGTGACAGTTTGTTTATGTTTCGGCGTCGGTGGAATATCTGTTAATACCTTTTCATTTTCGGTTTTGACTTGCGTGGAAAGGATAACGAATTAATCTTTTCTTGCGATTCTATCTTCTAATCGGAGAAAGTCTTAGAAATTTGTTTAAATCATAGGTTGAAGGATTTTCATTATTTGTACGATGAAATTCTAAAGTTATATCGTTCGGGACAATTTTCATCAAAATTGGAATAACATGTTGGAATATGTTTCTGGTTTCACACCGAATGCTAAAAGGCTTCTGACTTGAACGTTAATTGTATCATAAAGTATTTCGCAATTTTGCCACTTCACTTGAACTTTGAAACGTGATTTAAATTTAAGAGATTAGAAATGTGTGTATTGATAATAAGATTCACTTTGACCGAATCTATTTCTAAGAATGTCTGTAGCAGAGTAATAATTAACCTTTCAGGTTGAAAGACCCTCTATGGCTGATGCTGCATTTCCATATAAATAAGTTTTCAAATAATTAAATTTTTCGATCTTCGAAAGCTTAACATTGTCATGAATAATTACCTTGAATGAATTCCAAAAATTCATCCAATCGTTATAGTCTCCAGAAAATTAGTGAGTTAACAGTTTGGGCAATTTCACATTGCCTTCAATCTGTCTTTTGGTTTCAACTTCTGTAGATGAATTATTTAAATTCGTGTTGATATTTTGAGTATTGTATTTCCTTAAATAACGGTTGATTTTAGACTTCGCTATTATTATTTTATCGTTATATTCCATAGAAGTGTTAATATCTGAATCTAATTTTGATTCATCTTCAATCAAATTTTGTATTTCATTTAAATCATGTAGTTCCGTTTCTTTACTATTTAACAATTCCAAACAATTTTCTAACTCTTGATTTTCTTCTTTTAAATACTCATCTACATTTTTAATAATTTGAGGTACAGAAGCACGTATATGTGCTCGATTCTTAGTGTCTTCTGTTCCATTTTAATAAATTATCAAAGGAGACTTACCGTGAGAAGTCTTCGCTTACAAAGCTAATCCAAAAGGCAAAAAACACCAAATTTTCAAATTAATCAGATTCTTTTCTGGGGCCGATGCAGCATTATGTAACGAAAGTTCTAGATCAAAGTCGAATCGCTCATAATACAAAAATGAGATGCATGGCCTGGAGGGTTTTCCATAAATTTTAATTAAACTTAATATTTACATATATACAATGTAGGCTAAAATGCCTGAATCGAATATTAATGCTCAAAAGGCAAAAACTGAATAGTTTCCAGCTAAAATCTAAATCGAATTCTATTGCGTAGGCATCGAAATTCTACTTCAAGAAGAATATTTTTTTTTCAAGTCACGTGTTCAGAAGGGGAAAGGTTAAGTAAGCCAATAGATGGACTGCTAACGCCATCTCTTGGCGATATCAAAGAATATTCCTTAACAGCCCAAATGATCTCGAAACGTACATGTGGGTGTAAATGTAAAAAAAAAAAATACTTTTTTGGATGTAACATAAAATATCAAGGCTTTAAGATTTTTTTTCTTTGGCTTTGCAGGCACTTTCAACTTGTTTAAGCCCGCTTAAAGAGCTTTCAAAGTGCTACTCTCCTCACCAGGTTTATTTAACTTCCTTTCATCCAATGATGAACATATGTTCAAGAAAGCTCAATTACTAGAATGAAGTACCCCCTTTTTCATTTAGATTATTTTTTTCAACAGCTCCCTCGGTATACTATCCATTCACAATAGCAACATTAAGGCCTTCATTATAAAGTGATAGGTCACATGGACTTCTGCATTATTTGATACATTGTTTATTGCACATTAGAATGCATTCTTGGTTAGATTACTTCACGCTTCTCTTTCAACTTTTCTATCTTACTTGGACCCATAAATATTTTTTTAACCTGGCTTTAAAAGATTTCGTATCAAATGATACGAAAATTAATTTTTTCTCAACGAAAATTTCCCTTTCTACTTGTCTTTCCGTCCCATCTAAGCTCTAGTTTTCTCCCTATGGGCAGAAAGACATAGCGGGTGCAAAATAAGACATCCGTCTACCTTTGTCTATGCAAGAATTCTTTTCGCTTTTATGAATATTGTACCCGCGGTCACAGGGTTAAGAACTGCAATTTTTTCGACAGCTTAAGTCACGGTTGGCACACTAGAATGGAGAGGAAGTTATGGCAATGGAAAGAATGGTAGTGAAGGCTTTTATCGTTTTGTTCTGAAGGCCATGGACACGATTTTCACTTTCCACATTTTACAGCCTAGTAAACAATTTGGATGATTTGAAAAAAAGCTACCACTTACTGGATAGACAACGGACCGTGATAATAGCCGAAGAACCTTTAGGAATTTCACAAGGTTCTCTTAGACAAGGCTCCACGCTTACGGACTTCACGACTCCGCCTGTAAGACAAAGATAATACATAAATCACTTCATGAAAACATTCGTCGTAAAATAGTATTATAAAAGCAATGTTAGAAAGTAAAAATGGCAATAAATTGAACATTGACATTAAACACAAGTAATACTTTTAAGTTATTCAAATACTTCATGCTACATGACATTGGAATGAGTAATCAGGAAGAGATGCACTTTTGCTTGGCTTGATAATGGTCTCGTACGACTGAAGTGGGAATCAATATCTCTAGGAAAAGAACTCCTTTTATAAAGTTCAAAGAAAGCGAACATGAAAGTCTGTCAAAAGAAATAATGTAAAGAAACTAATCAGATTTCCTAAAAATGTGGGGAAAATACACTCATTTCATGATACAAGATTTAAAATTGTTCCGTAAGGTTCTGAAGCTAATATTTATGCGCTTACGGCAAAGCACACTAGGGTTATCTGCAGAAAACTGTCTCGTATACACGCTACACATGCGAGAACTACGAAATCGCCCATGCTACCAACCCATTCGTCTGGAATCAAACCAATGTCGGAATTACAAGATTTCATCGATTTTACCGCTTGGAGGTTCAATATCGTAATGTAACGTAATAAACGTACAAGTAAATTATTTAGTTTTAATAAACTTCAATTATTAAAAAAGGTTAAAATGTGTAACTGATGGAGTGCTTTATTAAATGCATTTTCCTCAAAAGAAACTGGCTCTTATTCGTATCACGAAAATACATAGCCAGTCCACATAGCCAGCCTGTCAGCCCAGTTTTGCAGTTACCAGCATTCAACTGACCCATTTCGCCACTGGTGGATTTAATATACTGGAAAAACATATAGACTAAATTTATGCTTTGTTGGAGAAGGTAAAAATAGTTCAATGAAAACAAATTCCCTCCAGTTCAGAAAACAGATTCTTATTACGATGATTTATTTAAAATCAGGTAAGATGATTAATCAAACTGAACTAGAATTATGTTGTTGCTCATGCTCACTTGTCTGACGTAGTCATACCAAGCCTACGAAATTCCTGATGGCAAGGAGCACTAGATTACGCCTGCCCTTGGCAACAGCCTTGAGCACCATACAGATGGCAGTGCGATTTTGCTCAGTTCAGCCCCCAATTTTGACGGACAGCACTCCGGGGGGGGGAAGGTTTCGAGGGTCTCACCCCCTCTCCCCTTCCACCAAACCACACGAGAGGACTTTCGGCTTGCCGCATATTTAGAGTGCACCATGCAGCACTGACACTATACATTTACAAACATCTATGCTTTCTACGGGGTTCGAACCCGGGTCCTTCGGCACAGTAATCATCGACACTAACCACTATACCTGGTGAGCAGCGAACTAGAATTATAATTATTGCTCACCTTTCAAAATACGCGCAATATTTTTAAGGAGAACATTCAGCTCACTGAAACAGAACATGAAACATGGCTGGGGAAAAATTATGTAAATGAAAGTCTATTTAATGAATTTGATTTCGGAAATATGGCATAAGATCAACGCATACAACTGTGACCAATAGCTCTGGATATACACTCGGCACAAAAATAAATGAATAATATAAAAAAGACGATTTTATATCTCCCGTTCTACTGGGCCGATTGACGAAATGCAACTTGCACTTTTTATGTTCTCGAAATTGCGACTTAGGATATTAGATTTATATATAGTGTTATTCAAACATAGGTATTCTGACACAAAATAGGACATTTTCTGCAATGACATACCAATTTTTTCCCCCACATTTATATTCTATGACTCAAATTATGTTTAAGTGCCAAGTTTTGTAAAAACTGCGTTAGTAGTTTTTAAAAAATGAGCTCTCAAAATTTTAGCTTCTCAATGTTAATTGAATTTGGTATATATTTATTAATCTCCTATTAAACTAACTTGATTCCTTCTTTCACAGGTCAAAATTTATGTTCAATCCAAATAAAATTTGCCAGTTATTTCCCGATTTGTTTTTAAAATTTGTATTTTAGTAAATTTATAAATTTTTCAAAAATCCTTCTGAATTATAACCTATGAAGTTTTTACTATCATTTTAAAGCAGATTTATTTCTAGGTATACTTACAAAGGTTTTTTTTTATTCAAAATTTTCAAAGATGTACGTGAATTTATATTTTGGCGCATTTTGAAATTTGGCATATTTATTATCCCTTATAAGAACACCAAATGTGGTTTACGCAATTTGTTAAATTGTTCGAAAGGATGAACGAAGCACCTTTCCTCCCGCTCGCGCATAATGAAAGGGAAAGGAAAATAAGTTACCATAAATTAAGAATTTCGCCAAGTAGTTATTCTTGGCGCAGACTGAAAAATGTACACCAAGAAAATTTTTTAAATTTCTCGATAAAGAGGTCTTCAGTAAATTTTACAAAATTATATATTTAAACATAATTTGAGCCGCAGAATCGAAATATGGAAAAAGTTCCAAAAAACCTTTGTTACAACAAATGATATATATAAACTTAATATCTATCCTGTCGCACTTTCGAGGCATGAAAAAATTGAGATTAAATTTCGTGAATTGGACCAGTAGAACGAGAGATGAACTGTGTGTGTGTGTGTGTGTGTGTGTGTGTGTGTGTGTGTGTGTGTGTGTGTGTGTGTGTGTGTGTGTGTGTGTGTGTGTGTGTATAACGTAGAGTACGTTCTATGCACCTGCTGTTTGCCTGGACGCGCTATGAGGGACGAACTCCCACCCTTGCAGAAATTTAAAAACAAACGACGAATTAAAATAGCATTTCATGCAATTTCTCATTTGTTGTAACTAATGTAGTTTGTCTAAACTCAAAGCAAGCCTACGGAATTCATCGTAGCAAGGAGTCAAGATTGGCCCTGTCGTTGGCAAAAGCCATGGGTACCATAAAGGGGACAGTACGACTGCTCAGTTCTATACTTAGTTTTGATAGAGATAAACCGGAGGGGATGGACGGGTCTCAGGATCTCCCACCTTTCTTCCCCTACCACCAATGGCTTCAGAGGACTTTCGTCTCACCGCATATTTTGAGTGTCCCCATGCCGCATAGACACCATTACATTTACAAACATCTATGCTTTCTCAAAGATTCGAACCCGGACTCTTTGGTACGGAGTCACTAACCACTATCTCGGCTGCGCGGTTGTTTTCATATTTATTTTAAATAAGCCTCGGACGGTGAACACGGCGTAGCGACTGTCCTGTAAGCAGGACAACTAATGAAATACAAAATATATTCGTAAATTATGAAGCAAAAATTATGAAGTTAGTTATGAAGCAAAAAAGTGCATCGATGATCAATTAAATATTTTTATAAATTCATAGGCTTTGCTCCTAAGTTCCCTTTTCTGAGCAGCCTTTATTTTAACATTCATAATTGTTTTACTTTCTAAATTAAAGCTGTTGGAAATGATAGAACTATATTCTTTGGCAGAAGCACATGCTAACACTAGATACGGTAGAAGTATATATAGCATTTTCTGGTTAGGTTGACCGCTGGTATAATCATACGTAAAAATACTCATATACCCTATTAGCAATATATGCCACACTCGTACTGCTGATTTCGGTACTTTGCGTACAAAATAGCGTAGAAAAAATGGAAATCTCGTTGTACAGGGCTTAACATAAAGAGCCTGATTAAGCTATTAAAAGGCCCGTATTCGACCCGTGAATTGGCTTTTGCCCACCCCTGTGTGCCTTCTCCTAGCTAAATTTTTATTCCATTCTAGTTATTGCCGGTTTGTTCATTTTATCTGGTCCGGTGTATTCATTTGATTATTAGGTTCATATCTTATGAATTATTATCTCGCAGGTTATTAGGTTCTTATCGATTATTATCTCATCCATTATTAGGTTTATAATCACGACTGAGCTGCAAGTCTCAAATGGTAACAGAACAGTCTTTTCTCAGCATCTAAAATCTGTATTCTGTGGCTTGTTCTAACTTTTATGCTGATTTAGTATTGGACATACCACTAGATACTGAGTAATATACGATCTACTTTGTAAACAATTTCTTCCAGAAAGGTTTTGCAAGACGGGGGTTATAAAATGACTTTTGTTATCGATGTTTTCCATGTTATTAATGGTCCGAATATAAGAATAAATGCTTTAAAAATATTTTACCGTATTAGTTATGATTTATCGCTTCAAACTGACTAAAATCCATCATTAATTTTAGACAGCTCTCATTAAACGTTTCTCAAACGATTTCACAATTACCTAGATTTCAAATTGGAAAATGGATATAAACTAACATAGGCAACATTATTCAACAAATACAGATAACAGTCTTCCTTTTTTAGAAAGAATGCATCATTCTTAAAAAATATATCGATAACACTAGTTTGGTTTACTTCATTTCGAAACACAAGAAAGGCTATCTTACCCTCTTATGCTTTGCCATAATCATATAAACCAAATTATGGAAAGTATGTCTTCGCGGAAGATTTTCTACTGTAAACCGACTCGTATCCACGTTACACATTGAGAAAACCATGAACACGTCCTTGCAACCAACTTGTTCTCCGGGATTCGAATTTAGGTACGAGCTACCAGTATTCAGCTAGTTTACTTCTCTGCCCCATGCGGGCCGTGTCGACAAGAAACGTCTTTACATAAAGAAACATAGGCTGGAGTAATCAAAATTTGTATTGTATTTTATTTATTACTTTTAGTATTATTGTATATATTCTTGGTATTTTCCTTAAACACTTATGATATGATGCCCTTAAAATTCACACTACTTTTATATGTTTACCTTAATGGAATTTTTCCAGTCTAACCCTCAGTAGCTCGACAGTTTTGCCTTCATTTTCGCTGAGAAATTTATGCCACCAAGCTTTATCTACAAATTTAGGACCGTTTTTACTCATATTTTGGACTGTTACTCAACATTCTAGTAATACCCGAGGAACTTTGCAGTAATAAAGTTAGCAAGTAAAAAGTTTTTCAAGGGGAGTCCCAAACTTGGGCATTCTGGTGATTCCACCACTTCTCGAAGATGGTGGGC